GCTCGTGGCAAATAGCAAAAGTGATTTGTTTTTCATAGGTTTCTTTCAACAACAGCTTTCGTTTTTCAGCTTTTTCATGGAGACATATTATTATTGCTATGGTTGTTGTTGTTAATATTATTACTTTGTATTTATTACTTTCTCTTTTGTATGACCAACATTTGACCTGTCATCATATTTTCCTGATTAATTTGGATCACTGTAGCTCCATCAGAGTAACAAATATCTCTGTGCTATTTTGTGTTTGCATATTACTTTTGTTGTTTCCACTATTATACAATCTATCATTTATTCTATAGAAATAGAGTCAGTTGCATTGATTTTATGACTGCAGTAGTGACTCATCTTGAACAAGCATGCAGGCACAATTGACAGTGCATTGCATTGTGTTAGTAACTGTTCAGCAATTCCTTTTATTACAGATGGCACCAAATGTTCCCTAATTGTCTCAACCAAAGCTCTGAGGTGTTCACAGAAAATATGGATTAATACTAAAACGTCATTACCCACACTACAAATTTTTAGACTGGATTTTACTTAGTGTTATAAAAAAGTAGACTGTATAAAAATGCTTTCATTTCACAATTAATCAATATGTTTTTTTACTTATTTGTTTTTTTATGTTGTGCTGATTTATCAAATGAACTACAAATCCCAATGAAATACACTCAAGTGGGTCTTTGTTGAAATACAAAAGAAGGAAATTCAAAATGAGTAAATATATGTAAAATTATTTGCACAAACAAATAACTTCCTGGATCACAGCTTAATCTAAAATATAATATATTATAGTTATTCAGAAATGAATCCTATATTACACACAACAGAACATATTTCTGGTGTTGCTTTAAAATGCATTGCATAAAAACAGCATACAGCAAACACCTCGTAACTTATATTCCAATTCATCATTATGTTTCAGTATATCTGTGAATAGGTTCAGAAAAAATATAATTTAAGTTTTTAAAGACTAGCTCAACTGTTGGAAACATAAAACCAAGATTAAAATGGTAATTGTTGGGCCACCAAATCTATCAAAGTTGTGAGTAGAAAACATATTATCCTGTACAAAATATGCATGTAATTTTAAGGGATTTCTTTACATATGTTTAACAACTTTGCAAATTAATATGTGAGTTACTCTGTGCATAAGATATTTTACATAAAGTGTTATCATTGGATGGATGGATGGATGGATGGATGGATGGATGGATGGATGGATGGATGGATGGATGGATGGATGGATGGATGGATGGATGGATGGATGGATGGATGGATGGATGGATGGAAGAACTACATAAATGTGTTGCATAAGAAATGAAACAATTTCATTATCTGACTTTTTGATTCAGTAGAGGGGATCTTTTTCTAGATTAAACACTCCATTTCTAGTTGATAAAGGAAATTTCTCACTCTGTGAGCTTTCTTCATGTGTTTCTTCTCGTTAATGGTTCCCAGGGGGTGACTAAGACCTATTTATATATATATATATATATATATATATATATATATATATATATATATATATATACAGTGATGGGAAGTAACGAAGTACAAATACTTCGTTACTGTACTCAAGTAGATTTTTCTGATATTTTTACTTTACTTTACTACTTATTTTTATGGCGACTTTTTACTTCTACTCCTTACATTTTTACACAAATATCTGTACTTTCTACTCCTTACATTTTTAAAAATTGTCTTGTTACTTTAGTTTTGAATCATTTAAATGGAGTTACCGTTATTATTTTTCACGTCATCAATACCAAATTCAATCTAATTGGATGGGAATCTACGTTGCATTTGACGCACCACTACAAGATGAATCGACAGATTCGGCGGTATTCATTCACGGCAAATCATTGCAGCTTGGTGGCGGTGGCGTTAGCACAGTAGCATGGACGACGAGATGATTGAAAATGAACACAACGGAGATCTAGTCCTATTGGCAGACAACCATTTAAAATGTAGGCAACGGCATGAAAAAAGTGGTTTCTACTTTTACTTTTATACTTTAAGTAAATTTACAAGCCTGTACTTTGTTACTTTTACTTGAGTAAAGAAGTTTAATCAGTACTTCCACTTTTACCAGAGTATTTTTTGACACAAGTATCTGTACTTTTACTCAAGTACGGAAAGTGAATACTTTTGACATCTCTGTATATATATATATATATATATATATATATATATATATAGACAGAGAGCAGAATTTCTTTTTAGTTAGAGTTCCCATTATATAGTAATATGTGCTGAAAATGATAGAAGTCCTCCAAATAAGGTGCTCTATCAGGTTTATAGGGGCTGAGGATTTCAATGTTATTCTTACTGCAGTTTCATAAGAAGGCCATGGTCTGCTAAGCATAAATCTTTGTGGGATCTTGCAAATTTCTATGTTCACATTTTACATTAATTGACAAAACATTATTAGTCCACTAGCCCATTAACTATTTCACCTTTTTGAAGTATCAGCGGAATTTGAGAGTCAGCAAAGAGCAGACTCTAGGCACATATATTTGTGGACTCTTCTGATAAGGAGTATTTTGTTTAATCAGGTAATGTTTTGCCTGCTGTGTGTTTACAAAACATCCTAAGTCCTTTTACAAAGTGAGATTTTTGTGTAAGCATCACTATAACTGGATTGGAGATAATTGTGTTAAACTGGATTGGAGATAATTGTGCTGGAATCCATGCATGCAAGAGTAGACCATGCAAGCTTAACAACAATGCATCCATGCAACAGAGCCTAATAATAAAAGTCTGGCATTTTGCACAGGTTACCATTAACTGCTTTATATATCACTTCTGCATTGTGTTACATGTTCAAGTGATGTATAATTCTTAAAACTGCCCAGTATGTTTTAGGCCTTAGATATGAGCTAATATTTCGCCTCCTCAACCCTATAAAAGCGCATCTTAATACTTGCAAGCTTAAGACCAGCAGGCCTCTATCTTTCCTCTGCTTATTTTTCATGATATGCATAGCTTACGCTTAATGACGATGATTAACAAAATAAACACATTTGGTTAGTAGCACATGACCACTACCTATCATCTTAAAAAGCAGTGAGGAGGGATTTAATTTCATACAGTTTTTGTCTAGTTTGCCTTAAATAAGCAAAGTTCTGATCTATATTGTCACATTCATCTGTGGAGGAAAGTTGTCAGAAAGAGCTAAAGAAATTAAAGACTATTCAGATCATCTTTTTAACCTGTTTTCAACGAGTGATAAATAATATTTGCTTTGAGTTTGCAAACTTTTGATGAATGGTACATCATCATCACTAACTTCTTATTTCAGACACAAGAAAAATAACAGAACGAGAGAAAACCACACACAAACAGGAGGTTGTTCATCCATTGCTATAAAAGTTGAGGGGCCAGTGTTTCCACAGACCAGAAAGGAACCTAACAGAGCTTTTTAAAGGGTTTGGTACGTGAGGATCATCAAATAAATTGATGTGTTTTGCGCATCAAATTTCAACCGTTTTGTAAATTTCAAGTTTCACAGCTGCAGGTCTGTTCCCCGTTTCTGAAACTCTTGGTGTGGATGTGCACTGGAATTAAGATGGCTCAGGACAGATTAGTTAATTATAGACACCTGCTGTCTAAGCATGGCCTTGTGTTGTCAGGTGTTGCAGCATGAGGCGAGCTTCTTGCACTGGGGAGAAAAAGGTGGAGCAGCATAGACAAATGTTTTGCCATGTGCTCCGATGTTGACCTTTCCCTACCTGTTCTTCCACTAAAAGGGCTGCTCACCAATAAGCCTCTTCTAATATTGCAATTGACCTATCATAGCAAATCTTTAAAATTGTCAATAATAATAAATCAAACAAATAATAAGTATGAAACAACTAATAAAAAGTCAGAAAACAGTTGGTATGTCATATTTGTCGATATTTGTGAACAACAACTTATTTTCCCCACAAATTGGAATCACATTACTGCAAACATAGATGCTTTCTTTGTATAACCTCTAATATTCAATCTCATTTTGCCCTATATTAAGAAGCAATACCCGGCTAAAGCAACTGAGCCTGTCACTGTCAAAGCTGGTCTGAGGAGGGGTGACCAGTAGGTCTCTCAGTTTGCAGTCAGATACTCTTACAGTAGTTGTTGTAGATAAATGGTTGTACTGAGCTACTTTATTTATTGCTGTAATCTACAAATGCTGCACTTTAATGAGCTGGGTCCATTGAAATTATCCTGATTGGAGAGTTGAACAAGGAGTTTCTTGGCTTTAATTTCTACTTTCAGTCAGTTGTTACGTTGGTCCACAGTTTGAAAACCTTGAGAATCATCTAACCTAGCCTTAAACCTCATAGAATCAATGAAACAGAAAAGAGTTCATCCTAATGCAACTACTGATCCCTGGATCTATAGTGTAACCAATAATTATAACAATCATTATTGGCATGAAATAATTTCTAAAACATTTTCAGGATGTCTTAATTCAGTCGGTCTTTGAAATAATCTAGTGATATAGAATTCAGTTGGTATTTGGAAATACATTTTTAATTTTAAATTATTTGTCTGGAGTATTATCTTAGTGTTATAAAAGCAATGATTAATTGCATAGATTTGTATTTAAGTTTTGGACATTGCTCATGAAAAAAAACCCTGTGCATAATATACTCTCTTTACAAGATAAAATTATATGAAAAGCACATGATTAATGTGCTTCTGTTACTTGATAAATCTGTAAGAAAACCACCAATATTATGTTACAAATTTCTACATAAGGTAAACCTACTGCAACTGTTTGTTTCTGCTCAAAAGCTCAGAAAGTAGATTTCGGAGAAGCACTAATTTGTGGTTATTAATATGTGCTTTAGTTATTTTCTGAGTCAAAGTAGAAACACTGGAAAACCAAAGAAACTAAGCATATCTGGAATACAAACAGAGTGAAAAATGCCGCCAAGGATTTTCCCTCCTTTACTAATCTTGCTGGTTGACTCCACCCTTCTTGTCTGGGAGCCTTCAGTCACACCTCAACTTAACCACTTTGCTTCTCCATTACAGCTGAAAGAGCAGGCATCTTTGACTTTGATTGGAGATAAACAACTGATGTTAAAGAAGTGACCTACTAGGGGGTTATTGTTTTTTGGAATTTAAAGGACTAAACTCTTTTGACTCTTTTCTTTTACTCACGCATTGGCCATGAAATTTCAAAGAACTCAGCTGGTTGTTTTAATTGTGTGACATATCTGATCCAGAACATATTTTTGCCTGAGTAAATATACAGCTGGTAAGTATAATTATTTCTCATAATCACTGTACTCTGCACTATGCAATTAAAAGCTAAAGATGCAGATAAAGGTTTGTTAACTGTAATTCTGTCGTTGACTCTAATCGCAGTAAAACATATATATTATTCAGTATATATATGCAAAGGTTTGAGGATATATTTCTATGTTTTTCATGTAAATCTCAGGGCCTTTATTGGTAAATAAATAATGTTTGATGTCATTTCAATTTGGACAAATAGAGCATGTTCGTGATCCTAGAAGTACTTCATTCAAAAACGTTTTTGTGTTAAGAATCAGAGTTGCGGCACTCCAAAAACCATTCACTGAAGTGATAGTGAATAGCCTTATACTGACTAATTACTAATATTCTCTTTTTGTATTTTAATATGTGTAAAAACTTTGTTTTTTTTGTACAGTCAATGGTATCCATGCTGTATAGGTTTATGTTGTCTTTTCAGGATTCAGGCAGGTGATGTTAACACTTTGACTCTTTATAGAAAGACCCCCATCTCCGTTACATAAGTCAACCATTTGTGAGCTCGAAGAGCTAATTTTATCCTTACTAAATCGCTTAAGTCTCATTACTGCCAGAGCACCCTGTATCAGAAACCCTTGATTGACTTGGTAGTTGCCATGATATCCCCTTATGTATTCCCTTTACATTTTCTTCTTTTCTTTTTTTTTTGAAAGTGGCAGACTATATTCAAATTATTAATTTTGTTTTCATTTTCAATGAAGAAATTCTGCTTCATTCCAAAAAAAAAAAACATGTTCCATTTAAAGTTTTTTGGAGGAGTTTTGAATGTCTTGTTCTCTGCAAGAAAATGTTTTCATTGGCCTAAAACCCTGAGTTTTACTGTAGTTTTCGAAGTTTGTTTTGCGGATGCCATTAGGGTCAAGGTGGTTCAAGTGACTGCAGGGACTCATTGTTACATAACTGTGTACAGCCTTTAAATCTCCTGGAGTACTTCTGTGTTCTCCAGGAGATTTAAAGGCTGCTCAGGGAAGAGTTGATCTTAAGTCAAAGAGGCTTTAGACCATAACAAACCTGAGCTACGTATTGCTCTAAGGTCAAAGTGAGGATAGGAAGATAGAGAAGTGCATGCTAGGATGGAGGAGATTGCGGACTACTCCTAAAATCCGTAGTCTAATCTTCCGCATTTTGAGTAAACAATAGGATGCTTTAATATTTTAAGTCCTGAAAAAAGTCTTGGATTACAAGCTTGTGACACAGATCACAAACTTTTAAGGTCAATGCCTTCTTTAAAGAAAAATGTCATATATATTCAGTACATAGAATATTCCCAATTTACATTAACCATTATGTAGAGCCCATAAAACAAAAGCAAAAACAACATAATATGCAAGGGCATCTGCAGGTTCTTTTATTTTTTTTATTCCATTTTAAAACTCATTACTAATTATTTCTAACTAAGTCTTTTGGAGTTAAATTCAGTTATTCAATATAGCACAAATTTACAAGTCATCAAATTTCCAGGCACTTTACAAGACCGCTGTGACTCATATGCATTTATAAAAAAGACAATTAATCCAAAAAAATTAAGTTGAATTAATTTACCACATTCAATACAGCCTGATTTAAATTTTATACAGTTCTAAATAATGCTACACTCAAAATCAGTAAATAATTCACTTGCAGTGATTTGTCTTCCTAAAAAAGCATATGGTGACAGAGGAAAATAAAGACAAGAAGAAACTCAGCAAATCAGATTGAAGATGAGCAAGTATCAGCTAAGACTGACAGAGAAGCCAAGATATCTTGTTTACAAGGAATTTCTATGTAAAAGAAAAAGAAACAAGCTAAAGCAAAATTTGTATCTTAATCTCAGAAAGAAACACAGCTAGGGGGGAATCAATAAATCAATAGTACTACTGAATGAAAAAAGAACACAAACTTTAATGAAGACACTGCTCTTTTGCAAGGTTCATTTGGGAAGGAAACCCCTTTAAACATAAAAATACAGGCTCATTTTTTTTTCAAAAGGAGAAATCAATGTCATCACTTGATAGGAATAATAAACATTGATAAATAAACAACCGCAGCAACTAGTTGCCCTATTAAATAGCAGTCCCATTATTATCTTCCTTGACCTGAAAAAGAATGCTAAATAAGTGAATAGCATTACATTTGATTATCATATTGATATGATGCTTATTTAGAAGAGGACCTAGAGGTGAAAACTTGTTATGAGTTGATAGAGAAAAATAAAAGGTAGAGGAAAATGCTGAACAGCCACTAAGCAGGACTATGCAGCAAAAACTAATTTAATGCAGAAATGAATTCAGCACCAAAGATTTGAAAAGAAGAAAGAAAAGGAGAAAAGATTTTTTTAAATGTGTCGGCTAATGGCTTTCATCGAACATGAGACAAAAAAGGTGATAAAAAGGCAGTTAGAGATAAGGTCAAGGACACTAAAAACCAACACAGAATTATAAGAAGAACTAACAATCCAAATTCAGATAAAGGTACAAAAAATAAAAATAGAACAAAGAACAATGCATAAACAAACCAAAAACATAACACAAGATAAAATCAGTGGATATTTACTGAAACTGATTTACAGAATAAAAAAAGTTATCACTCCTGAATAGCAACTCTTGTATCTATATTTTTCAGTCCAGTCAAAATGCAGAAGCAAGTGGAGGTCAGGATGAGCGAGAGCCACATAGACCCAATCGTGGAGACTCCCGAGAATCCATGTAGTAATATCTGTGAAAAGATAATGAAGAACATGGTTCTCACTCTCACAATCCTCGGTAAGTCCATTGTCCCTTTATTTCCATCAGGCTACACACAATCCATTTGTCTTCAGTTCTCATATATCCTGTTCAGGGACTCACAAGGGCTGGAAGCATATTTCAAACAATAGACTGGTTTGACATGAAGTGGGTCACCAAAAAAAGGGTGACTGGAGCAAGTGAATGGTTTAAAAAGCTCCGGTGAAGATTGAGTGTTCCCACCAGGCTTTCAGGGTCTGCACAGCATTAGTCTGCTCCATCTTTCATCTATTTCATTCCCCTAAATCGCACAGAAATGATCACAAATGCAGTAAACATATTTCCTTGGTGTTCAGGTTTATTTGATTTACAAATATTTAGAAAGACCTGAACTCCCTGGTCAGGTAAGTCATTATTTCTTTTTGCTGCAATGTATACATTTGTTTGCAAAATGGGATTTTAGTACAGTTTTATTTCTAAAATTACAGATTAAAAGCATAACAGAAACATGTCTTACTTACCAGATGGTTCACAGAATGGGCTTGGTTTTGTCCAGTTAGTGTCAAACAGTAAAAGCCCAGTTTGACCAATAATAACCTAACAAAGGTTTATCAGAGCATAGGAAAAATTTCAACCGAAATACTGGATAAAGTCAAGGAATCAACTGGATATGATATGAGGAAAAGCTGCAGGCTGTTTGCCAGAGCCCCCTGGTAGTTTAGATTCTATTATTAGATGTTTACATTATCATGATTAATGATGTTATAAAATGCAATCCCTCTGAGAGTTAACCTTTGATCTGCCCTGCCAGCAATTACTTTTCGAACTATTTAAGAGGGAAACTCCTCCCATACTCCTTTGCTATCACTTCTAACCAAGCAATCTTTTTCAATACTTCTAAGGAAACCACCAACTTAATTTAATTTAAACTTGTTTAAACAATTCTTTATTCACTTCAGCATCTTTTAACATAGAACAATCCTAAAGAAATGGGTAAATGGGTCCATCAGCTTTCATGATGGAAAATAAAGTTATATCGACAATGGTAGAAAAGAGTAAATCTTTTCTACCATTGTTGATATCAGGTGATAGCCATGTATTTTCCATCTGACATTATATCTGCAATCAGTGGAGAGAACCTGGCTTCAGCATTTGTAGTAGCATCTGTCGTTATTTAAGCTCTAAGAGGAACTCGGAACATCAGAGAAAAATCCAGCTTCTCATTGCAATCACATCGGAGCTTAGATTTAGGACAATTCAACCTTTCCTATAGTGGACATTCTTGCAAAAGACAGCCTGTTTCAGAATCTTTTGGAGACTATTACAATAAAATACATAGATTACTGGCTATATTTTTCAAATGATTTTTTCTAATAATCCTTTTTTTTCTTTTAACCAATATATTCTTGCAGAGTAGGTGGGCAAAAAAGGAACTTGGATGAAGTAATTCATTTACTAACTAAATCGTCTACATCTTTACTCTTTGTTTATAACCAAGATACGTCATGCATAACTTATAGAAAGGTTGTTAAAATAAAAATCTAAATGTTGATAATATCAGATTGTTTACAGAAGAGTTTTATTTCATGCCTTAGAGTCACCAGATCTGTGTCTAATGTTGTTTTTTTTTCTTCTCTCTTACTTTGACAGGTGTGTTTCTTGGTTCTATTGCTGGAATGCTTCTGAGGCATATATCCCCCCTCCCTCCTGACATCATAATGATCATTGCCTTTCCCGGGGAGATCCTAATGAGGATGTTAAAAATGCTTATTTTGCCTCTTGTTGTTTCCAGTTTGGTTACAGGTGGGTGAGATTTAATATCTGTGGGGAATAAAATGTTCTGCTGAATTTGCAAACAAGTGTCCTGAAATTAGGTCACACTGTTAATTGCTGGTACCTGGGAGCTGCCTTGTAAAAGAGAGTTGGTGTCGATTTTAATGATTAATATTTTTGTTTGTTGTCAAACTAAAAGATTCTTCTGAAGATTATTTCCTTCTTTGTTAGGGGACTTATTAGGCACAGTGTGACTATTTCTCAGGCGGGGTTGATTCTTCAAGTAGCTACTTTTCTTCAAAACATTTCCCTCAATAAAAAAAAAATGAAATAAACAGAAGATGAAAATGATTAAACTAACTGATGATTAAAGTAGTTGACATACTGAGTTGGCAACTGTCCCTTTGCGTTGGTAGTTAAAGTGTGAGCACAGAAACCAGTCTTTTTAATCTGCACAAAATAGGATTTTTTATTTAATGAAAAACTTATTTTTTAAGACGAAATATTACAAACAAAAAAGTATTTGAAGTTGCTATAAAAGTAACAACTAAATAATATGACATTCTTTAGAGTCATTTAATGTCTTTAATAAATGTTTACATTATGGTTTCTCTCTTGTTTATTTTTTTGTTGTTTTATCTGTTTTTATTGAACAACTGCACTTCCCCTTCTTTTATGTATCTTCTATACAATCTATGTTTATTCTTTACACTTTGGTTCTGTTTGGTTTTCAAACTATCTTTTGAACAAGGCTGGACTGAAATATTTGTAAAGGTTGTCACTTAAGAAGTCAGTATAAATATGTCTCAAACATCTGACCATGTTTCAGAGCTTACAGATTAAGTGAAAATATCAAATTGTGTTTTTGTCATTTTTCCTAGATCTATATTTTGAACTCCTTTCTTTTTTTTCTTTTTTCCAAACAGGACTTGCGGGTTTGGATGCCAAATCCAGTGGTCGCTTAGGCACGAGGGCCATGGTTTACTACATGTCCACCACAATAATTGCAGCAGTCTTAGGAGTAATCTTGGTGTTGCTCATCCATCCAGGGAATCCCAAATTGAGAGCTAACCTTGGACAGGGAAAGAAGAATGATGAAGTATCCAGCATGGATGCTTTCTTCGATCTCATTCGAAATCTTTTCCCAGAAAATCTGGTACAGGCCTGTTTCCAGCAGGTAGGAGTCACACAGAGAATTGTCTCTCAGCATATAACTTGATGTGTCAGCTGCTCCCACTCATTTCTTTTTTTACCTGGTGTCAAATTTCTTTCTTTTCCAGATCCAGACAGTAACCACCAAAGTACCGGTGCCAACCAACAGGACCAGAGCACCTCCACAGTTCACAGTTAAGAGGTCGCTTCAGTTCAAGAGTGGGATGAATGTCCTAGGTAGGTGCAAATATAAAAAAAAAAGCCAAACTTATTTATAAAAAAGGTTATCAGTTTGATTTAAGAGAAATAAAAGTTTTTTTTTGTCATATGTAGCATTTCTGCTTGTAAGTTTATAGCATTTAAGTTTATAACATTTAATTCTGAAAATTTCTGGATGACCTGAAGGTTTAGTTTAAGCTAAATAGATTAGATTCCTTTCCCTTTTTCAGTTGTTTAAACTTTTTGTAAAACAAACAAACAAAAAAAAAAACCCAAACAGATTTAAATTCAATATATTCTCTGTGCAGGGCTGATTGGATTCTTTGTAGCATTTGGAGTCATCATGGGGAAAATGGGAGAGAAGGCCAAGCTGATGTTGGAGTTTTTCAATGTTCTAAATGAAATTGTTATGAGGCTTGTGGGCGCAATTATGTGGTGAGTGCAGATTTTCCTCATTATTTTGTTCAGAGCATTTATTGTGAAATGTTTAATAATTCCGTATAAATTCAAAAAATATCCACTGGACTTGGTTTTCAAGATTTGAAGACGTTTCGCCACCTCTCCAGGAAGCTTTCTCAATTCAAATGTCTGGATCCGCAGTGAGTTTGAGTCTATACAAACTCACTGCGGATCCAGACATTTGAATTGAGAAAGCTTCCTGGAGAGGTGGCGAAACGTCTTCAAATCTTGAAAACCAAGTCCAGTGGATATTTTTTGAATTTTTACGGAATGACTATGACCTGGATGACTGAGAACCTTCATCAGCAATGTTTAACAATGTTACACTACATCCCTTTTCAGGTATTCTCCTCTTGGTATCGGCTGCCTTATCTGTGGAAAGATAATCTCTATTGCTGACTTGGAGGTGGTAGCCAGGCAGCTTGGGATGTACATGGTTACTGTGATAGTGGGCCTTATCATCCATGGAGGCATTTTCCTGCCGTTAATATATTTTGTGACAGTAAAACAAAATCCCTTCACTTTCTTCATGGGAATATTTCAAGCCTGGGTCACTGCGCTTGGAACAGCATCCAGGTAAAATAATTCTCCCTTTTTTGCTATGCGTTTTGCAGTATGGCACTGTCCATTAAAGGGAGTCAGCATCTGTTGGAAAATCATTATAAGAGATCTTTATTTAAAGCAGAATACAACAAATAATTAAATTTGCAGCATTTTTTGCTTAATGATGTATCAATGTAGGATTATTATGTATGTCTCATGCAGAGTAAATGTTTCTTGTGTTTTCATCAGAAATATTTTGGCTAGACTTTTGTTTCTGAATTTGTATTTTAATATGATTTTTTTACTCTTAATAAAGGCGTTAATTAATACTGTTAAAAAACTAGCTAGCTACTGTGCAAGATTATTATTTTACTTTTATCAATTTTCAAAATAAAGGTCTAAAGGTTTAAAAAAAATCCTCTATCATACATCAGAGAATATATATTTGATCAATTTATTTACTAACTAAAATATATGGTTTAAATTCCAGTCTCAGATTAGGTTATTTTGGATTTATTTATCTTTTTTATTTTTATTTTTTTTAACTTTCTTAGAAATATGATAATCCTAAAAAAACAACAGAATAAAAACATGTACAGTAAAATAAGTCTGTAAAGAGCCATCATTAATATAAATCAGCAGCATAATACCTGTCATGCCATATGTCACTAAAACAAACATCTCATCTGTTTGATACAATTCTATGAAATTCACAAGAAGATTACGTAGTTGGTGATAAATTACGTAATGAATCAATGTGGGTTGTACAACCTAAATATATCCATCTCACCATAAAGGTTATCTTTGATGTGTTTTGATTCACCAGCGCCGGTACGTTGCCCGTCACATTCCGATGCTTAGAGGAAAACCTGGGCATCGACAAGAGAGTCACACGCTTTGTCCTCCCTGTGGGGGCCACTATTAACATGGATGGTACAGCACTCTATGAGGCAGTGGCAGCCATCTTCATCGCTCAGATGAATGGCATTGAGCTGGACTGGGGCCAAATAGTCACTGTGAGGTAAGATAAGTCCCACTATTTCATGATATTATGTTGGCAAGTTTGTTTGTCTCTTATTAAATGTTACCAATTCTCAAATATTTCACATGATAATTTAACCCATTATTAAAAGTTTTCATCAACATCGATTTATTCATTTACCTTTTTTTTGTTGTTTAATTATTTCCAAGTGCATATAGAATCATGATGAGAGTTCAATTTGTCTCCTGTTTAGCATGACCGCCACCTTGGCCAGTGTTGGAGCTGCCAGTATTCCCAGTGCAGGACTTGTGACCATGCTTCTCATTCTGACAGCAGTAGGACTCCCCACTCAGGACATAAGCCTTCTAGTTGCAGTTGATTGGCTGCTGTGAGTTCTAAATCTACACTGTTTTCATTATTCAAAGCATAAAAATGTTCCACATATTCTAACAGAATATAAAGGCTAAGCATTTTATATATTAGCATATTATTTTCATTTTAAATAATATTTTGTAAATATCATGACAAGAGAGTTAAAACACTGGAATCAACTTATTAAAAAGGTCAAAATATATCCATATGAATTGTTAACAAGCAGCTGATAAAAGTTTGGAAGTGATTTGAACCAGATCTGCCTTGTGCAAAAGCACTGATGTTTATAGTTAAGACATTTTATCCTGATCTGATATAGAAGGGTTTTAGTTATCTTTACTAATAAAACGTTTTTCCTTTCTGTGTTTTACCTTAATGCAGTGATCGTTTTCGAACCTCCGTTAATGTAGTTGGGGACTCCTACGGCGCTGGAATTGTTTACCACCTTTCCAAAGATGAACTTGATATGTATGATGCCCAACAGACCCGAATGGATGACTTGGAGATGGCAAAGACACAGTCGTTCTTCGAAAACAACACCAACCAGAATGTGTATGCTCACCACAACTCAATCCTGATAGACAACGGCAAGGTACATTTCACATTAACGGACATAGAAACATGTATGTAGAGAAGAGTCGCTGCTCTGTGTTTGTCCTATTTGTGTCTTTGTGTCTCTTTTTCTTTTTTACAATGACTCCTGCACGTGTCTTTGTTGTTCATAGCCATTGTCATATTTTCATTCATGAAAATATATTCATAAGTGGTGAAACACATAAATAAATATGTCTATATTTATTTGCTCACCTACAAATGATAAGAAGAAGCAGTTTTTGTGATACAAGAGTTCAAAAGGAGAAAACTTTGTACTTTGTGGGGTTTTATTCATCAAGAAATCACATAAAATCTGAAGGAAATTATTTTTAAGCTGTATTAACAGTACGCTTTCTTGTGGCTGATTACATTGAACTTTTGTTTACTTTTGTTTTGTTGAGAATGAATTTTTTACATGCTTTTGTCAAATTGGACATGTATTTATGGTGACCCCAACCAAATTACGCTTATCAATCCATAGCCATCTTTTTAAGATCTTATACGGCCAGAGGTGTTCATAAAGACTGCTGATTCACCATATTTCATTGCAAGTGATGCATTATATACATAGATGCCTCTCCAAACTTGTCCCTGTTGTTTTGTTTGTTTACAAACAGTGATTTTGTTGATCTCTCACTGCCTCTGTTTTAATTATCATTATTGTAATTTGGTTGGGGAGAGAATCCATAAAATACATGACCAACTATGGAGAACTCTACTTGTATTCTCTTTAGGAACTTCTCATTCCATTGATGCTTGATATGGCATATCTTTAGGGGTATGTTTATAAACCCAGGGGATTTATAAACTAAAGTCTGTCAAAATGGCAAAGGCTTGAATGTAATGAAGAAATGGCTTCTCTCCCCAAAACCACACATTATTTGTTTATAAAGGTGCCTTGGACCAAATAGTTAGCTTTTCTTGATAACTGCTTACAGGTCAAAAACGGCAGAAACGGCAACACTCCAGAGTTCTCTATTGTTGAGGAGGATCCCTGGAATTTCAAGTAATGCAGATTCAGCAATTTAGCCTGAGTTTGACCAGCTTTTATCTTTTGAGGTCACAAAGTTAATAAGAAAAAAAGAAAAGAAAAAAAACTTTTGTGCAAGGACACAAAGAGTGAGTGTACTGAGACTACACACACGGAAACTCTACTGCAAGAGCAAACTGTTGGCAAGTCGTGGAAATCTCTTGCTCTTCTGGGTAACTGCTAGAGGACGCTGTGCTTTAGCACCTTAAACTTTGTCATGCTTCCAGAAGTTATGCATACACATAAACTGGACTGAAATTGTGTGCTTGAAGCGATTCATCAAAGAGCTGGCTGACGTCTGTCAGGATCTTACTGAGGGTTGCTACATAATTCCTGTACTGTCGAGATTAAGCCTAATGTTTTATTTTGGAACAACTGATTCTATAATGTTGTGTTTAAGGACTTGTCCCGTGACTTAACGTATAAACACACATAAAAATTGGAAATACTGACATAAGATTCAAAATTAAATAAGACAAATGCTGCAGAAATCCATGCTTCAGTAATTGTTTACCTTTCCAGACATTTACAATGCATTGCTGTATTGTACCAAATAACTAAACGTGTTGTTTTGTCTATTAGGATGTTTAAAAAGGACATCAAGTTAATGTAACCTGACTTCAACTGGCATTAATCTTAAAGTACAGTACAGTTAAGGATTGTATTACCTCTAACTGTTTGATTTATGGGATTATACCTTCACGCACGTGGTAAAGCCTAAGAAGTTAAGCTTAATACTTAAGACAGGGAGGGAATCTAAAAGTGGCAACAAACTGTACAGAACAGGGTGTGTTGTTGAGAGTAAATCTGTTCAAATCTTTTACTGCACTACTTTATTTATTTCTTTATTTCTACTTTAAGTATCTGTTGTTACATGTGAACCAAGGAGTGACTGTTTGCCTGTGTACTGGAAATGAGGTTAATCATGGTGCATTTTTGGGCAGAAAAGATGGTTAAAAAAACAAAAGCAATTGGTTCTCTTATTCTTTTATTAGTTTTTTTCTCTTAAAATCTAAGTAGACTTTATTGTTTTGTGTTTTATTACAAATTGTCCTTTTTTTCTGTGCTATATGTCAACCTTGCCTTGAATATGTTATATTCAGAGTGTGATCACTTTGATTAAAAATAAAGTTACTAACCTACTTGGTGTACCAAAGCTCACCAGATATGTTTGTAGAGAAAATAAAGCATTTGGGGATGGCTGGGCCTTCTCATAAGATTATATTATATTTTCTGGTTTTTCACATCAGATTTGCATATAAATAACAAGCTTGTAATTTGATCTAGACTTAATTAACCATGGTCACATCTGTGCAGTAAGTGCACTCTAAAATCTGCCTCCAGCACTTGTGTAAATCCAGCACTGTAACAACAAGGTCACTGTATGTTGTTTTGAACATGCTTTTGAGTATCACAGGGTATAAATTCTAATTGATCCTTGCAAACAAACATATTTTTTTATACAAGCAGCAGCTTGAATATCCATGTTTAAAGTGCCTGTTTGCACTTTTTGTATATATTCACTTTCAGAGCCATTTTACAATTCAACTGTATAGATTTGACAATTGTTGTCAAAAGTATTTTTGCTATTATAAATGTTTCTATGAGGATGATACTAATAACAAACTGTGTTAAACAATGTTAGGCAAAAGCAATTTCTGTACTTATCTGTTGGCCCAGTAGGCATTTTGATCAGCTGTTTGTGAAAAAATTAAAGTGATGATTTTTAATTTAAAGAAAAAGAAAGATTATTTTATATCTGACCCAATACAGATGTACTTAAGGGGTTTGAGTCTGTGAAGGTGTGTGGGGATTGTCATGATGGTAGCTGCATTATGGCTAAATGGTAAAAACAATAATTAAGTACTTCTCTTCCTATTATTTAACTGACTTGAAATATAAGCTGTTTGCATTATAAGATAAATTTTTGTTTTTTTTATCTGTGAGGCAAAATTAAAGATTCTGTTTTTAAATGGTTTTATGATTTAAAAATATACTCAATTGGTCTATTTTTGTGATTTACTTTAAATTTTCGTATTTCATACATTTTGTTTATGTATTCCCTTTTACTCAATGCACATATTGAAGAAGATATGACTTTTTTCCAAATGTTTTACTGTGGCTGACTTCATACAAATAGAACTAAATGAGCTTATACTGAACGATTTGTTCAGAAAGTGGTGTGAGTAAATGTTTTAATACTCATTGTAAATATTAAATAAAAACAAAAATAAATTCTGATGAGTTACTGTTGTGTTTATTTCCTGTTCAATGTGGGATGCAATGAATATGAGGCAAGTGCATTTCACAACCTTTGAAGGGCTGTGTGGGAGAAAAGAAGAGCAGTGGAGTTAGCAGGCTGAGCACTGTTCAGTGTTACCAGCTTGCATAATGAAAACTAGAGAGCAGTAGAGCAGCTTCATATAACTTAGAACTCACAATACATTCTTCAATAAGATTACTACAAAGACAAGACACTGACGTAACAAAAAAACAAATAGGCATTTAAAAAAAGAATTGCAAGAAAATTACAATAAAAAAATCTTATAATATACATAAAAACATTTCTCATTGAAATGAAATAAAAGACAATTGTGCACCAAACCTTAACAGCTGTTTATCTTACAATTAATAAACAAGTTGATTATGGCAATAAATATATCAGCCATTTTTTGCATTTCAAGTACAGTTCTTATTAAAGCTGTTGAAAGGCATCATTAAAAAGAAAAATTATGGAGCACAGCTTTGTCTATCAAACAAAGCCCATAATTGTGACAATCCACAAAAATAATTCTGCTCAACAGTTCAGTTTTTTTCTTTGATCAAATGCTGGTTCTTTGACAAAACGTTCTTGTGATTTAAAGATAAGTCTCCAGAAGGCCAGTCTCTCAACCTCAATGTGATTGATGATCAGAAAGATCGTCCAGTGGAATAACCGTGTATTCAGTTTCCTTTCCATCCTCTTTGGGTAGGAATGTCTGCATCTCCTGCTCCCTCTTCTGGTTCGAGGCATTAGTTTCGTTCACGGATATCTGCTTTGCATTCCATCTTAAGAAAGAAAAGATGAAAATATCATTAGTTCAGCACTCTTAGAGTATATTGGTAAAGATGGTAGTTGATCTTCTCATAATTAGGTCTTACTTGTCTCTGGTAGCAATAGCAGCGCAAAGTGTTACAAGAGCTGCTAGCCCAACAAGAAATCCAACGATAATGATCCAATCTGTACACATGGGAAAACGGGTTACTCAAAAAACATTTTCCTTGAATCATAAATAGGTTATATTGTAAATTATGTTTAAACTCACCAGGTGTGCTGTGTCCTTTTGACATTTCTGGTTTATTTTGGGGCCCTAAGTTGAAAGAGACAGGACATGTGAGAATAAGGCACTGACATAAAAAACTGTTCTATAATATATTACGTTAAACTGTTTCATAATTGAGTTTCATAAAACTTACCATTAAAAGGCTGCACTTGTGTTGAAACCCCATTTTCCTTTGAAATGATCTCATGATGATGAACTGGTGGCAACCTCCTGTTTTGAGGCATTTTCTGCTCTGTGGTGGTAGGAATCGGTTTGGTTGAAGCTGCCAGAGTTGTTGTTGTAGTACTTGAACTGGGATCAAAGAAGTTACCACTCCCTTCTCCTGAGTCTGTGGATGATGAAATGCAGTTATCTGTGACACCACTTCCCTCTTCATTGGTATGTGGAGATGCAGGAATAGTTGTAGGTTCAGGTGTTTGGATTATTGGCAAAGTAGGTGTCACTAAGAAACCACTGCCCTCGCTTGAGTCAGAGATTGGCTGAGAGGACGTTTGGATGGTTGTGGGTGCTTCCGGGTATTCGGTCTTAGAAGCAAGATGGTTTTCTAAGAGGCCGCTGCCTTCAGTAAAGACTTCAGAAGGTTCCTGAATGGTTGTGTTTATTTTCGGCGGCTCAGTTGTGGCCGATGTGCCAAAAATGTGGTCAACAAGGAAGCCGTCTGTAATGACCTCTTCAAGAACGTCCTCCTCTGGCCTGACAGGCATCTGGGTCATAGCTGTAACATAGAAAGAAAAAAAACACATAAGAACTTATTATATTTACCAACTAGTCCTGGCATGAGTGGAAAGGAAATTTACTCAGTCCCTTTTATCTATTTCAACAGAACCTAAGAAAGCTTGTTTGGCCACAAATGTCTTGTATTAGCTTGCTTTGCACTCTGCTTTGACATGAGGTGTGGTGGGAACACCAATCATTAACCTGTATGACTAATCTTTAGGTAACAAAAGAGAGCACCTCTACCACAAAGCATCTCTCTCTAGATTTGACACACCTACTTTTTCAGAACAATGATGACAAATTAATTTGCTTCCCTTTTACTAGGGAAGAAGGGTTTGTTGAAGAGGAAGCAACAGGAAAAAAGTTATCGAGTCGGTTTGCCTGTAAGCGTTCAAATACTTTTTCAAACAAATGTAAATCGTCATATTTTATTTGTTTTATCAATGCATTTATTTGTTAATTCATTCATTTTATTAAAGGATACAATGTTTAAAAGTTTAAAGTTAAAGCTTGTCCTTTATACTAATGTTGCACCGCAGCATCTATACATCTGAACATTTTTGTATTGTTTTTTTAGCTTACAAAAGTGTGTTAATATTTTAGTTTCTACATTCATTATTTATAACAGACAAATACTTATACTGTCAGACAGAAAAAAAATCAAGGAGAGGGTCCTAAACATTAAATCACACATCTTCATTTAGCTTTTTTTGCTCAGTCATTTCAGGATCATGTGTTTACCCCCTTGTGAACCTGTTGCCCAAACTGGTGTAGCAGCTATTTGCTGATCTTTGGTTTCACAGTAATCAAGATCAACACATAAATGCACCCTTTTGGATTAGCTCAAAAGTTTTTTTTTTTTTTTTACAAAGACCTTTGTGTGTACTCAGGGGGTGGCATTGAGATTTGAGCAGCAGCTGTGAAACACAACTCAATAGGAGTTAGACCTTAAATTCCCCGATAGAATGAGTATGTGCTGATTCACAGGGTGAAATAGAATGTAATCATTACAAAAAAAATCTAACGGTGGTTTGTCATACTAAAGAATGTTTGGAATATTGTGATGATTTATTTCAAAGGTTTGTTTTTCACATCTGTATGGATATTGATTAAGCTCATTACAACCATATTATCTGACTGACTGTATACTATGTATATATTGTTGATTAATAGTTAAGAAATATAAAAAATAAAGATCTCTTACAGTCAACAGGAGAGGCGTTGATCACAGCAAGTCCAAGAAAAACCAAAAGCAGAAGAATCCTCATCTTCAAAATAGTAGTGACGTCAAGAGCTGAATTCAGTTATAAGCTAAGCTGAACTCTGTGAGACAGTGAAGTGTGAATCTGAAGCAGATGAATCATGCATCTGCTTTTATACTTAACGCCAGGTAGGTGTCACTTCAGAACACTGGTTGGTAATACACAAATACTCAGGGAGGTAGACACACCTGTTCATTTAAGCCCCTCCTCCTCTCATTTTCTCATGATCCTTTCTCCTCAGGCAGAGCATGACAAAATGCAAATGATATGCATGAAAAAACATTCCTTTCGCTTGGCAGTTTCCCTTTAGTTATACAACATTAGATAATATGGCAAAGTTAAATAATATGCTAAGGCAAAATATGGCTCAAGGCCTGGTCATGTTTTTTATATTATCTAAAAAATTTAGTTCATGTCGAAAAAGTCAGCTGATGTCTTTTTAATCCCTAAGTACACTTGTTTCATTAATCATGGTTTCTATCGTAATAATAAATTTGTGTTTTAGACCCAAACAGACAGTGAAACCCAGTGAAACAATACCCTGACTGACTTTAAACAAAAGTGTCACAAATAAAATGCAGAAATTACATGACTGACAAAAAGGAACAAGAACAAAACATCAAATACAAAGGCTGTTGTGTTGATCACATGTTTTCTACTTCCAAATACATTTAAAGTTATAATGTGTAAGGGGAGATTCCCACAATAAACCATTCATTTGGAGGTTTCTTCTTTTGATCTCTTTTCTCAAATTTGATTTCTTATGTGACAAAAAAAACTAAACTGTTACATAACTGTGGGAAAAAAATGATTTAGTCTAACAAGAAAAACTGTTTCCGTTTAAATAAGAATACATGTTGCCTTGGTTTTCACCATAGAAACTGTGTCAAAGTTTTGGCTGCATGTTACGTTTGACATGAGATAAAAATATTTGCATTTTAAATGATCTGATGAGTGTTTGTAGGTATTCTATGTTATTTAGCATTTTAATGAGATTATGGGAAACTCACTGAAACTAAACTTCAAACTGTGTGAAACCGCTTTAACAAAAGTGCTTGATGACTGGAAAATCTACTGGAAGTTGATCAAGTTTTGAGCACATCATAAATTGCATTCCATTTTGGAAGCACCTCAAAGAACACACCCTTTTCATGACTATTAAGTATCATCCAATGTTACTTCCTTCCCATGTCCCACAAGACAACTGAACCTTAAAGGAATAGTACACCCAAAACATGATTAGCCTTCATTTTCTACTCACCCCCATGCTGAACAACACTCTGGAGTACTTTTTTGATATCTCAAATGCATCTGGAGATCTGGGAGGCTTCTTGCTGTCTGCTGACATTCAAATAATGGAGGTGCCCAGCGCCCGAGGCAGAAGGGTCCATAAAAGTCCACAAAAAACGTTTCAATATTCCTCCATACTGCTCGTCCAATGTATTCCAAGTGTCCTGAGTGGGTAGCATCCAGAATTTACTCGAAACGAAGTCATTTAGAATGTTTTTAGAGCATAAACAGTAGTGTATAGGATTTCCTGAAAGCGCGTTCACGATGCTACGGAAACCGCGGCAGACCAACCCAGACGAAAGTGCGCATTCAGCTCAGCAAAGAACTCATGCTCTTCCTCAACACTGAAGTCCTCAGACATTTTTCTTTCCTTGTTTCTTTCTTTGCACAGGTAAACAGCACATTTCTTCTTCTACGCTTGCATTATTGGCAGAGTAGAACTCTGAATGCGCACTTTCATCTGGTTTGGTCTGCCGGCTTCCGTAGAGTCGTGAACGCGCAGGTGCGCGCTTTCAGGAAATCCTATACACTTATGTTTATGCTCTAAAAACATTCTAAATGACTTCGTTTCAAGTAAATTCTGGATGCTACCCACTCAGGACACTTGGAATACATTGGACGAGCAGTATGGAAGAATTTTGACACGTTTTTTGTGGACTTTTATGGACCTTTCTGTCTCGGGCACCATAGACCTCCATTATTTGAATGTCAGCAGACAGCAAGAAGCCTCCCAGATCTCCAGATGCATTTGAGATATCAAAAAAGTACTCCAGAGTGTTGTTCAGCATGGGGGTGAGTAGAAAATGAAGGCTAATCATGTTTTGGGAGTACTATTCCTTTAAATCCCTTTTTTTTCTTGCCATTGCCTTGGATGCTTAAAGCTGTGATTTCTGACTTAGCTTAAAATGTTTTGCCACAAACTTAGCTCTGTATCATCTCCCTGCATGTTGTGTGTACTGTATACTTCATAATGGCTGTTGTTATAAGCCTGCTTTTGACTAAGCTGAGCGTCACTGAAGAGCTGTAGCTGCAGGTCCTTTGGCGCATACATGAAGTTACGACATGCGTCACAAATTACTCAGCATGTGTGGGTTAGTGCTTGTCCAAGCTTGTATTCCACACCCAACACAGGCTCTGCTTTCTTCAACCGGAAAGAATGGAATTTTACAGCATATTAGCTGTGATGCCGAACATAATGAATAGGTTCGAGCACAATGCTTGCTTTTCCATGTGTGTAATGGTAAGTTTTCTGTGGCCAGACAGTTCTTTGATTCTGCGTTAGACTCACTTAAAGATTGTCTAGTCAGTGTGTGATAAAAGAGATTTCAAACTACATACAAAATCACATGATAAAGGCCATGAGTTTTTAACAAAGTCTAAAATATATTTTCTACCTTACTCTTCTGTTAGATTTTTTTTCACTCCCAACATCTAAATGTTTCTAAGCAAAAGAATTGATTTCCAATTAATAAGAAAAAAATGTTGAAACCCACACTGAAAAAACAATCTAGAAATAAGTAAAAAATGTCTTAAATTAAGTGTATTTTCCCTTAATTTGAGTAGGTAAATGAGATAGTTTGCCAATGGAATAAATATTTTTACTCTTAAAATAAGATAATTACAGGATATGCACTTGAAATAAGATGATGCAATTGTTTTTTCTTATTTTAGGAGTAAACTTTCATGTTCCACTGGCAAAATGTCTCTTTAACCTCCTGAATCCAAGAACAAATGCACTTATTTAAGAAAAAATGACTTATCTATATTTCAATTTTTTTCCAGTGCACAAAGCCAAAATTTAGAAAAGAGTTACCCTCCTTTTAATCAAAATGATCACTTCCTCAGAACTTGTGAGACAGCATGTGACAGAATAAAGAGTCTTAGAGCCAACTGATTATATAAACTACAACTGAACAAAAAAACATGAAACAGTAATGAACCTTCGTAAACCAGTTGACCAGTTCACCAAAATCAGTTCAAGTGTGTATGTAGGAAGGATCTGTTGGTGCACCAGGGAGCGTTATCACAGATCCTTCCTCCCAGCAGCTGTAAGACTCTATAACCACCACCGTTCCTAACAACCTCAATAAGTTGTTACATTCATGCTGATTTTGCACAGTTTCTACCTCAGTCAGTTAAATAACATGATGCTGTCATTTAGCACATCTCTGATGTTGTTGCTATTTTCAAATATCCATTACTGTAAAAATGTCCATAGCTGTATATTGTTTATTTATTCTCCAGGTGCAAATTATTTATATTGTTACTTTACAGTATAGTATTTTATTGCTGATCTTTTCACTCTTTACTATTATGTCATTCTTATACATTTTTCTAAGGTTCATATTGGTGTTACAATTTTTTCTTTAATCTTTTTGCTGCTGTAAACACCAGAATTTCCCCATTGTATGACAAGAAAGGGATTTTCTATTCTATTCTACTATATAAAAGAAACCACCAATAGTATTCAAATATGATATGTTAAAAGAGCATGTGTAACCAAGAGAAAGATTAGAATGAGGGTGAATACAGAGATCAATTAAGCAAGAAGCCCAGTTAAGGCAATCTCAATCCTCTACTCTATAAGCACAGCGCCACCTCATTTACATCATGAGTAGCATACAATATGACATACAATATGCATCTAATCCCAGATAAAACATAGCATAAAGCAGGAAAATAAAATATGTCACGCTCACAAGAGGTGTCGGTTATCTATAAACAAAATCCATCCCTCTGTCTTTGTGCAGGGATTCTTAGTATCTCCATTTAGTATCAGCCATTGAGGCCAGAAGAACTTTTAATAAAAGCAAATCTAAAATGCGCAATGTCGCTGGGTTAACTTGATTATAAACATTTTGGTCGAACTGCTCAATCCGAGGAGAGAAAATGCTGACGCAGGGTTGGGCCCTCTAGTTAACTAACCCCTACCTGTATTAAAAAGTGCATTTTGTGTTCACTAAGGTGGTTTTTAATTATATAAATTCTCTGTTGATCTAAAGAACTAAAACATACAGAAGAAACCTGCAAATGAGGCAACATCTTCCCTTTTTCACAAGCTGTAAAAGGTAAACTGGTAAAAGACCAAGCATTGTATTTCCTTTGGTGCATTTCTTAAACAAACACAGAGTGTAAAAAAAAAAGTCAAAATTTCAAGAATTTAAAACATCAAAGGCTAGATCTCCTTGAGATCCAACGGTAAAACCCAAACTTCAAAGGTTCATTTGAGATTTTTTTCTACAGACTTCAGATTTTCAGCATATTATTTTGCCCAAACCTTTTTTTTTTCTTGGTTTTCAAAAGCATGCATGGATATGGAGCAGCAAACACATAGCCTTTGGGGTTATGAGGCTTTTCATCAAGAATTCATTACATTTAAGCGATGGAATGCAAAAAGCCAGTTTTTCAAAAGCAATATCTGTCCACAAGCAACATTTGGCCAAACATCTTATTTTCTAAGAGTCTAAATTTCAGCATACGCATGTTTTGGAAATGCAAATTCATCTTGCTGTTATCTCAAACCTTCAGACTGAATATAAATGATTAAAAAAACATCCTTTTGCTGTTCTTGTACAATGAATTATACGAATAGATAAACACTTGTTGGAACCCTTCAAGATCATACCCAGTGGTCTTTCCAGGCCAATTAGCGGCAATCCTCCCTCATCTTCTGCTGTACTGTTATCTCATATTTTGGGGAAGCGAACATTGTTCCAATGTCTCAAATCCCAAGGCTACTCAGCCCAGTGACCTGTGAACAGCGGCAGTCACATTTGTTACGGGTGTGGAAAAGCAGGCACAAAATAAGGGGTCTGGTGTGTCAATGACCTGCATTAAAAA